ATACTATCCAAAGCAATCTGTGCTTTCAATGCAATCCCAATCAAAATTGCACCAGCATTCTTCTCAAAGCTAGAACAAACAATCCTAAAATTTGTATGGAACCACAAAAGATTCCCAAATAGCCAAATGTTGAAAAAGAAAACCAAAGCGGGAGGCATCCCATCCCAGACTTTAGCCTCTATTATTACAAAGCTGTAATCATCAAGACAGCATGGTATCAGCACAGAAACAGACACATAGACTGTTCTCTAGAGGAGAAAGCAGGCAAAAACCTCTTTGACCTCAGCCTGAGCAGTTTCTTGCCCGGCACATCTCCAAAGCAAGGGAATTAAAAACAAAAAAGAACTATGGGGACCTCATCAAGATAAAAATCTTCTGCACAGCAAAGGAACCAATCAACAAAACTAAAAGGCAACTTGACGGAATGGGAGAAGATATTTGCAAATGACATATCACATAAAGAGCTAGTATCCAAAATCTATAGAGAACTTACCAAACTCAGCCCCTGAAAAACAAAGAATCGAGTGAAGGAATGGGCAGAAGACATGAATAGACACTTTTCCAAAGAAGACATCCAGATGGCCAATAGACACATGAAACGATGTTCAGTATCCCTCATCATCAGGGAAATACAAATCAAAGCCACACTGAGATACCACTTCACACTGGTCAGAGTGGCTAAAATGAACAACTCAGGAAACTACAGAAGCTGATGAGGAGGTGGAGAAATGGGAACCCTCTTGCACTGTAGGTGGGAATGCAAACTGGTACAGCCACTCTGGAAAACAGTGTGGAGTTTCCTCAAAAAGTTAAAAATAGAGCTACGCTATGACCCAATAATTGCACTACTAGGATTTTATCCAAAGGATATGGGAGTGCTGGTTCAAATGGGCACATATACCCCAATGTTATAGCAGTGCTTTCAACAATAGCCAAATTATGGAAAGAGCCTAAATGTCCATCAACTGATGAATGGATAAAGAAGATGTGGTTTATATATACAATGGAATACTACTTGGCAATGAAAAAAGGATGGAATCCTGCCATTTGTAGCAACATGGATGGAACTGGAGGGTATTAATGCTAAGTGAAATAGGTTAGTCAGAAAAAGACAGGTATCCTATATATTCACTCATATGTAGAACTGGAGAAACTTAACAGAAGATCATGGGGGAAAGGAAGGGGAAAAAATAGTTACAAACAGAGAGGAAGGTTGGCAATCCATAAGACACCCTTAAATACAGAGAACAAACTGAGGGTTGATGGGGAGTGGTAGGGGAGTGGGGAAAATGGGTGATGGGCATTGAGGAGGGCACTTGTTGGGATGAGCACTGGGTGTTGTATGTACGTGATGAATCATGGGAATCTATCCCCAAAACCAAGTGTATACACAGTATATACACTGTATGTTAGCCAACTTGACAATAAATTATATTAGAAAAAAAATCCTGCAACATATAAAGATCTAGAGGTATACGGGCACCTGGGTGGCTCAGGCAGTCTGACTCCTGATTTTACTTAGGTTATGATCCCAGGGTCGTGGGATTGAGCCCTGCATCAGGCTCCAAATGGAACATAGAGCCTGCTTAAGATTATCTCTCTCTCCCTCTGCCCCTCTCCCCTGTTTGCTCTCTCTCTAAAATAAAAAAAAAAAGAAAAGAAAAGATCTAGAGGTATAGATTGTAGAGCTGAAAAACAAAACAGAGGGATTAGCTCCATAGACATTAAAAAAAAAAAATAAAACCACACACTGAAAAACAAATTGAGTTAGAGGTGCCTGGCTGGCTCAGTAAGTAGAACATGCAACTCTTGATATGAGAGTTGTGAGTTCAAGTCCCACAGCCCCACACTGAGTGTAGAAATTACTTAAAAGAATTAAAATCATTTAAAAAATAAAAATAAATTTAATCAAAGAAATAAGAATGGAAATGATTATATATTTACAACTTAATAATAATTAAGCCCAAATATATCAAAATGTGTGGAATGCAACTAAGGTAGTATTCAGAGGCAAATTTATATGCACTATAACTTAACATGCATTCATTTGAAAATAAGAAACATAAGAAAATAAATCATTCTTTTAAATCAAGAAGTTATTTTAAAAAGCCACAAAACAAAGAAAATACAAAGAAAAGAAAAAATGAAATTGAAAACAAATAAAATTGATATAATTACAAAAAGACAAATTGATAGTTTTTTGATAGTGTGTTGTATAATTTAAAATGCCTCAGTAGCTCAGTTGGTTCAGCAGCAGACTCCTGATTTCAGCTCAGGTCATGACATCAAGCCCCATGTTGGGCTATGTGCCCAGTGTGGAGCCGCTTAAGATTCTTTCTGTCCTCTCTCTGCCCCTCACACACTTGTACATGCATCAGTCTCTAAAAAAAAAAAAAAAAAAAAAAAAAGTAAATAGATGGAATAAAATGTTATTTTTAAAAAGGTGGGGGGAGTGGCACCTAGGCAACTCAGTTGAGCATGTGACTTGATTTCAGCTCAAGTTATGATCCCAGAGTCATGGGGTGGAGCTCTGTGTAGGGCTCCACACTGAGCATGGAGCCTGCTTTAGATTCTCTCTTTAGCACCACCCCCACTCTGTACCTATTTCCTGCTCATATGCTCTCTCTCTTAAAAAAAGGAAAAAAGAAACAAATGTACTCTATGCCCCATGATTTTACTTGTCATGATCCATTTGCACAAGGAAAACTATACAAGAATAATAACGTGTTTTTTAAATAATAAAGCCTTTTAATTATTATTATATTTCTCTACCCTGAGATCCACATTTCCTTCCAGAGAAATTTACAAGGAAGGGCCATATATCAGCAAAACCACAGGTTTTGAAGCATTTTCACAGAGATGAGAGTGTGAGGATGGGTTATCAATTATTAAGAGTTTCTGTCACTCAAATTTTCAATTAGGATACTTTCAGCTACAGGTTAACAGAAAACCTCTAGTAAGCAGGTTAAAATAATTTATTATTTTCCAGAAACACGGATTCTCAGGGCTTTAACTCCACCTCTCTGATATCTCCCTTAACTCTGCAATGCTTACCTATGGATTCCTTCTCAGGTAGATATCAAGAGGGCTGTAGCAGTTTTGAGCATCACATCTAGACATAACTCTGTCCAGAGGAAGAAAAGGGGCCATGTCTTCTTTCTGAAATTTTGGGAATAAGGATCCTTGCCAGAAACCCCAGTTCTTCCTAGCAGACCTTCCCCCATCAGTCATTAGCTAGAATGGTCTTTCCTAAACCACACACGGGCAAGATGAATGGGATTAGCATGATTGGTAAACTAACAGAGAAGAAATTATGCTGGGAGACTGCCACCATGATACCTTTATCTGAGGAGTACTTAATTCCAGTTTCTATAACCTAAATCCTCTTTAGTGCATATTCCACAATTTATCAATCCAGAATATACTCTGAGTATGTTTGAGTATATTGAAGTTGCCAACTTTAATAACGAAGACATTAAAATCATCTAGTATTAAGAGTTTCTCTTCACAGAATCTGTGTTTCATGGATTCTACAAGAATAAAACTAAAGGACAGAATCAAAAGGATACGAAGTGTCCCTACCTTTAAATATCTTCACTACAGGCTCTGTGACTTCTCAACCATTGTCACTTCTCAAGTGACAAGGCAATGAAGAGCTTAAGGAGGGCAGGGGAAAGTGATTATCCCTACATTAAGGTCTTAAACCCCTGTATGCCAAAATTATTTTTGGCATATTAGTAATTACTGTTTTAATGGCAAAATGTCATAAACAGTGTAAGGATACATCAGTAGGGATAGTACTTGTTTAAATAAAAATTAAAAACTAAAACATGAAATAGCTTTTCATATGCTTTAATTATTAATCAGCCCATATTTAGAGGAAAGATATGTAAATTGAGCCTGACTTTCTTTGTGTAATACAAACTCTGCCCTTAATGTGTTCTCTGCAGGTATGACCCTAAGACAAACCAGTGGAGCAGCGACGTGGCTCCTACAAGCACGTGCAGGACTAGTGTTGGTGTGGCAGTGCTCGGAGGCTTTCTCTATGCTGTGGGGGGCCAGGATGGTGTGTCCTGCCTCAACATTGTTGAGAGGTGATTTCTTTAAGTCATTTTCAATTTTTTAAAAGAATAAAATAAAGGGCTCTGTAAATGAAAGAGTTGAGGACACCAAGGAATCCACCATTCAGTGGATACCATACCCATGGGCCTTAAGGGAAAAGTTTTCAGTTGATTTGAAGTCTAGGAAGATCAAAGATATAACCTGATTTTTCAAACTATTTGTTATACTGATTGAGCCTAACATTGAAGAGTGGGAACCATATTTTAAATTGCCTTCTGTATATGATACCAAGTGTACCACTTCTGCAATCTGTTCTGTTTCCCCAATCCTTGGAGTGTATTTAGTGACTTTGCCCAGACTTTCTCCAAAACAATGACTAAAGTAATAATACTTTGTCTAGCATATCTTACAAATATCCCAAAGTATATGGATTCTCATTAATTCTTGAAGTATACTTAGGGAGATCTGGGTCGGCTGCCAAAGTGTAATTTATACTTTTACAAATCATTTAATTTGAATGAAATAGATTCTATTCTTAATTTCTTGCTCCATCAGTTTTCTGACATTCTGTCTTAGAGATTGGATTTTTGGAGGCTCATGTGTTATGATTATTGGCAAGAACATACCATATTTCGTTCTCACTTCTTAAAAAGAAATGCTTCATGACTCTTCAGAATATTTCAAATAGTAGTTATTGGTTGGATTACCATGTTTAAGTTGAAGAGTTTAACTCTGCCTTAAATAGAGATAGAGTTGCAGGTAACTCTTGAAAGCCATTTTTTAAAATTATTTTTCTGTTAAGAAACTTATTTCTCTACTTTTGAAACTCTGTTCAAGAGGATTCTGGGAAGACAGCAACAGGTAATCTCTCCAAATTCCCACATAAGAATAGAGCAATAGATAGCAAAGCTTCCAAACAGGTTATGGAACTTGTTTGGATGACAGGGTGAATGTACTTAACACTACTGAACTGTACACTTAAAAATAATTACAGTGGTAAATTTAATGTGTATTTTACCACAACTTTTACAAAGTTTAAAATGGAGCTAGGGGAGAGGGTATCCCCATAAACATCAAAACACCAATAGGCAAAAGCAAAGTACCAAAAGACACAAGACCTACATGGTATCAGTGTTTGTGCAGGAGAAAATACAAAGAAGCAATCAGAAACATGGCAGATTAAGAACAGAAGAACCCCAAAATAGACAATACATATTTATTAGGAAGTGTGAGAGCAAAATTTATGACCAACAGCTGTGACTAAGAAGGGTTTTGCTTACTCCTGTTATAGAGTAAGTGCAAGGGACCTGTAATAAGATCTGAATGACTTAGAAAAGAGTTGTTCAACCTCAGCACTTATGCCATTTTGCACCAGATAACTCTTTGTTGTGGGGGGCTCTGCTGTTCATCGTCACATGTTTAACATCATCCTTGGCCTCTTCCCACTAAATACCAGTAGCGCACACCTGGTTGTGACAACCAAAGGTCTCTAGATATTGCCAGATGTCCCTGGATGGGGAGAGGAGTGGTGCAAAGCCACTGTAGTTGAGAACCAGCTGGGCTAGAGCCATCTAGTCCCTTAGAAACCCTCAGAACTAACCAGCAGGATGACCTTCCAGAACAGGGCTCACATTTCTGGGTGCAGGATCAAAATTGAGTAGGACAGAGTTAACATCCAATGAGAAGAGAAGGCCAAGATGAAAAGGAGGACCAGTGAATAAAGCTAATAAATCTCAGGAAGCAAACCACTCTACTTTTTTAACACTATAGGAAAAAACTAGAATTTAGATTACTATCATACCTTTTGAAAGCAATATTTTATGCCAGAAGAAAATGGAATAATGTACTTAAGATATTCAAAGAAAATATAAGTTAAATATTTTATACCTGGAGAAACTGAAGTATGAAGGGCACAAACTGTTAACATGTGAGAAATTAGGGAAAATTGTTCCCATGAGTCCTTACTAAGGAATCTACCACAGAACTTCAGACAGAATTGCTTGAGAGATCTTGATAGAGGGTGAGCATGAAACATATGGTGAATTCAAGAACTCTGAGTAAAGGGTGAAAAGAGAGTAGCATGCACCAGCTGTATGCTCAGTTGGTGCAAAGGTGGTACAAGTATTTTCAAAACTGGAAGGAGAATGGGAAGAGTGAAGCAAAAACTATTTTAATTGTTCTCAGGGATATTGAAGTGATAGTATTGCTATTCTGAGACTGTTGTGTGTATGTGGAATAAAGGAAATGGGTATGGGTTATTCTAATTCTACCCTCTTCAGGGTTCTTGATTTGGAAGGATATGAATGTAAAATAGAAGTTAAGTAAAAGAACTTGTAGCCTGAATGTCTGTTTGAATTAAATTTCTCATTTAAAAATAATTATATTCTAGCTCTGTCAATTGAAGAGGCCTAGGAATAATGACCAACTAGTGTCAGTGAATGTCTCTATTCCTGGACTTGTGTCTTGAAGTTCTGTTTCCCTAAAAGAAACCAGGGCTTTTTGGAGAAATGTTTGATTCCACATTTAGGACAGGAAATGTACAAATAAGCCTTGACCAGCTTGTCATACCAGAATACAAGCCATCTATCAAAGACTAGTAGATGTCAAAGAGAGTCAAGAACAAAGTTGAAGATGTTTCCATTTGACCAAAGAAGGGACAGTTTAAACTTTAAAAGAGACAGTAATTGTGATTGATTAAAATCCAATCAATATATTTAAATCTATGAGTTCCTACTGACATTTTTTAAAACTCTACTTAGTTGCCTTTAGAAATAACAGGGAATTAATCTATCATCTTTAGGACTAGTAAAAGATTGAAACTAGTAAGGTTTCAAGTAAGTAAAAGATTGAAACTAGTTAGGACTAGTAAAAGAGTGAAAGAAGCATGCATATATCCAACCCTATCACATATGAATTGGGTAAAAAAGAGTAGATAAGAGGATTGTTTCTTTGTAAAAACATCCAAATAAAGGAACATAAATTTTGCAACACTCAGTAAATAAGTAGACCTAGGCATTAATAATTAACAGCTGCTAACATACCACCTTCTGTAGTTTTGCCAAAGGGACCAAATGTGGTCTAATCAAACTTCTGGATCCAGAAGTTCTGCCAATTTGCAGAACATACAGAGGACAGACCAATGCATTGAATTGCACTGTGAGTGTCCCGTCAGTCAAATCCACGTGTGGGGAAAATTTTAGGTTGACTACCCCAAGTTCTAAAAGATGAATTGTGGGGGCAGAAGGGGCATGGAGGAAGAACCTGTTGATAAAAAGAGTCTTTGAAAAATTATAACAAACAAGAGTAAGTATCTAGGGATGCACACTTGGGTGGTAAAAACTGTAAAGAAACACAAGGAAGTGATTACTGTAAAAGTCAGGATAATGGTTATCTTGTTTGGAGGAAGGCATTGAGTTTGGAAAGAGACACATCCAAAGGGCTTCCAGTGTGTCAGGCAAACTTATTTTTCTTTGCCTGGGTGGTAGGCTTTCCTTATAGGATCTCATTAAACTATACATTTGTTTCATGTGGCTTTCTTAGTCAATGTTTTATTTTATAATAGAAAGTTTTAAGAATTATGCAAAGACTTCAGCTTCCAAGGAGAATGCAGTAAGTAGTGACAGCCATCACTCCCACTGCAGCAACTAGGGGAGAATGAGAGCACAAATATACTTTTTTAGGGGTACCTGAGTGGCTCAGTTGGTTAGGAGTCCAACTCTTGATTTCAGCTCAGGTTGTGATCTCACAGTTCGTGAGTTCAAGCCCCACATCAGTCTCCATCCTGTCAGTGCAGGGCCTACTTGGTATTCTCTCCCTCTCTCTTTGCCCCTCTCCTGGTCACGCGCTCTCACTCAGTTGCTCTCTCTCAAAATAAATAAATAAACTAATGTGTGTGTGTGTGTGTGTGTATATAATTTTTTTTTTTAACATCAGAGATATGTGAAAGTAACAAGGGCTAGGTGAACTAAAATTCGATTGAAGAGGAAGCCCATTGTGTGAGCTGAGATCATCAGCTATTTTCTTCCCTGGGGATGTTTTTGCCAAGTCTAAAGGCAAAAGGATTTTCCTGGAAGAGAGGTATATCAGTAGAACTTTTAACAGTCATGCAGGTTGACATGACAGATTGGAATCTAGGACAATTCCAAACATACTGCTGTTTTTCCCCATGAGATGTTTTCTGAGTGCTGGGGTAGCTCAGGAGACTAGGGAACCAGAGTAAGTGAAATCTTATGGAACCCTCAGAGCTTAAATAAAGCCCTGCTGTGGGGAGAGACCTGAAACAAATACATGTATTCCCAGATTTGGGTTCCTACAGTTACTTTGGTGTCTTCTTTTCACGTTTTTCAGCCTTTCGGTGTCTGCTGGTCAATTTTTTAACATTCTCTGTAGTCAAATAACTGATATAACTTCGGTTTTCCTTAGTGGGTCTTGATTGATAAATTACTAGTGTTCAGAAGTAAATATGATAAAAATCGGAATGTCTTATCCTTGAGACATTTGAAAATAGAGGTGGACAGAGTCTAACGAAAGCTCAATTCCTGAATGGATGGAGCCGATCAATATTTCACCCTCACCTGCCTAATACAGGAAAGAATGAATCTACCGCAGGTGGAGTGAAAATGAGAGGGTAATACCAGTTCCACCTTCTAGGATTCCATTCCCTTATAATAATGCCCAGCATACAATAAAAAATTATGAAACATCTGAAGAAACAGAAAAATATGGCCAATAGCTGTGAGAAAAAAAATAGAAGCATTTAGAGTTAACAGAAAAATACATTAAATAATAAATAAAATAGAGGATAAGATTAAAATTGGGTAAAAGGTTGAAGAATTTAAATACGGAATTGGAATCTAAAAATAATATGTGTTCTACAACTGAAAAACATAATATCTAAAATTAAGAACTCCTTGAAATGAGATTAACTAGACACCGTGGAAGTAGACAGACACAGAAGACCAAATAATGAACTCAAAGACAGATTAATAGAAAAGGTGGCTTAGTCGGTTAAGCGTCCAACTTTCGCTTAGGTCATGATCTCGCGGTTCGTGGGTTCAAGTCCCGCGTTGGGCTCTGTGCTGACTGCCAGCTCAGAGCCTGGAGCCTATTTCAGAGTCTGTGTCTCCCTCTCTCTCTGACCCTCCCCTGCTCACTCTGTCTCTCTCTCTCTCCTAGAAATAAATAAAAATAAAAAAATAAAGAAAGAAAATATCCAAACAGAGGAAGAACAGAGAAAACAGAATGGAAAGAACAGACTCTAAGGGACTCATGGGACACAGTCTAACATACATGTAACTTGAGTCCCAGAAAGAGAGAGATAATAGGAGAAGCCATATTTGGAGACAGAATTTTTGGCTGAGAATTTTCTAAAAGTGATGAAACAAACATAAAGTTTATTCAAAGTGCGTGAACTTCAGGAAACCTTCACTGACTAACTAACCATAACCTTTCTCCAGGTCCTCCGTTCTCCAGTATTTATATTTCTGCTTCTTTCATCTGTGTTAGTTACCACATTCTCAGAATCTGTTTGGAGGTTTTTCCTTTTCTCTTGCCTCTTAAGAGCAAGGTCTATTTTTAGTATCATTTATTTTATATTTCCTGCAATATTGATATAGTTTGCTATACAGTACTTAATATAATAATGAAATTTCCCACCCATGTAATAAAATGGCAGCACTGTTCCAATTTTTATCATATTTACTTCTGAACACCAGTAATTTATCAATCAGGACCCACTAAGGAAAACCAAAGCTATATCAGTTATTTGACTACAGAGAATGTTCAAAAATTGACCAGCAGATATTGAAGGGCTGAAAAAAGTGAAAAGAAGACACCAGAGTAACTGTAGGAACCCAGATCTGGGAATACAAAGGAGAAAGATGAGCTCTGTGGGAGCCTAGAAGCCTAGAAGACAGATCCCACAGAGCTAGAACTGTCAGCACCTGGCAGCTAGTGCTCTGAACAGATGTGACACTCCTCCATGAAGGGTTCTCTTCCTGGCTAATTTTGGAAGATTGTACTTTCCAAAGATGATTACAATACCTGCCATTTCACATGTTCTTTGTATAATTTGACTTTGACACTCTTCTTACTGAGAGATGGGATTTATGTTTCCTCCCCTTGATTCTGGGCCGCTTTACAGGAATACCAAAAGTGGCCCTATGTGACTCCTAGGGCTAGGTCATAAAAGGTGATACATCTTTCACTTGGATCTCTTGGGGCACCTTTGAAGCCCTGAGCTGCTTGAGGTTGCCATGCTGAGAGGAAGCCCAAGTGAGCTGGCGTGGAGAGATGCTGAGGCTACTTGGAGACATGCCTGGCCAGCCCCCGGCTGTGTTAGCATTCTGCCCTTCCAGCCCCAGCCACAGTCTGAGAGCAGCCAGACACCTGAGCCAGAACTTCCCTGTGAGGCTTTTCCCACATTCCTGACCCATGGAAACAGGAGTTAATAAATTTAGTTTTGAGTCCCTGAGTTTTGGGGTGACTTACACAGTTGTGATACTCTTACCTCAGGAGCTCAGAGGAAGTGTCTCACAGAACCATGACTAAGACTTCCAAGAGGCACAACAAGGCTGGTTTTGGAAGTGTCAGGAAAAGGCTAGAAGCTGCAATTCACTGGTTCAGTCAGAGTGAAAGAGCCTTTGCTGAGACAAGGCTGACAGGGTTGGCAAACACACAGAAAGGAGCCTGTCCCTTCTCCTGCCTTGGACTTCTAGTGCCTGGCCCTTCCTCTCGGCAGAATCTAACAGACAGCCAAGCATGGCTAAGGGGAAATGCTCTTTTCAGAGTTCTAGCACCAGCATCACAAGGCTGAATATAGGAAACAGCTGAATAACGGACACAGGCACAAACCCTAAGACTTCTTTTCCTAATAACCAAGTAAAATATGTTAGATTCTCACATGTGACCATAGCATGTATCCAACAGATCTTCGGCATGATTTCACACCTTGTGAAAAAGGCCTCACTTAATCAAAACAGGAGTACAGGCTTTGGTTTCTCCCTCACTGCAGGTATGATCCAAAGGAAAACAAATGGACTCGAGTGGCTTCTATGAGCACCAGAAGACTAGGCGTGGCCGTGGCTGTGTTAGGAGGCTTCTTATATGCTGTAGGTGGCTCTGATGGGACATCTCCACTCAACACAGGTGAGTACCTTCCAAGGTCAGCCTGGTTCCCCCAAAGCAGCACATTCCTCAGGAGAATCCCCCTACAAAAGAGTATAAAAATCCAGGTTATCCTGTAATTTTAAATTACAGATATAAATTATAAAATTTATATAATATTTATATAAATAATATAATTACTTATAATAATTTAATTAATTGAACATTATTTGACCCCTAAGAGAGTACAGTTCTCAGCTTTTCTTCTGCTCCTTCTGCAGGCATAGTCTTCTACTGTATTCCCAAAATATTTCTTTGTCCTTTCCTCTTTACAAGCTTCTAGGAATTTATAATGAATAACAGAACTGTTTTCCTAATATGCTTATTTCCCTGCCCCACCCCCAACCATCTCTCCTTATAAAAACCAAAACAAACCTATGTTATAATCTAAAAATAAATAAAAACTTATAACTAGAAGCTGGTTTATATGTTAGTCCTTTCTATTTAGAGATAATGGATATTTTTGCCCAAGGATGTTAGTGTGGCACCTGTATCAGATCCATTGTCACTTATCTTGTCTTCTGCTTAGAGTGCAGTAGGAATACAAGCAAAGGGACACAACAGCACAGAAGTTGTCTGATCATGACAATAAATTAGTAGTATGGAATGGTGCTGACAGGTCTTACAGTCTAATCCCCTCATTTAAAGGGCACCTGGGTGGCTCAGTCTGTTCGGTGTCTGGCTCTTGATCTCAGCTCAGGTCATGAGTTCAGGCCCCAAGTTGGGCTCTATCCTGGGCGCAAAGACTACTTGAAAAAAAGAAACGATGAGGCCATGAGTCATATAGTCGGAACTAGAACTAAGGTACCTTCTACCATATACCCAAACAAAACCCATCCCTGATGAGATTATGTTGGTATTGTCCAAAGATATACAAGCCCTTCTCAGAAGCGAAAATCAGATTGTGTATCAAAAATATGTGTTATCACAAAATTTTAATGGCTATGAGGAAAATTAGAGGTGAAAAGAAATGGTTGAATTGTCACTTGCTATTTTTCCCCCTACAGTGGAGCGCTACAATCCTCAGGAAAACAGATGGCACACCATAGCTCCTATGGGGACCCGGAGGAAACACCTAGGCTGTGCAGTGTATCAGGACATGATCTATGCCGTAGGAGGTAGAGATGATACTACAGAGCTTAGCAGCGCTGAGAGATACAACCCCAGAACTAACCAATGGTCTCCGGTGGTGGCTATGACATCCCGCCGTAGTGGAGTAAGTGCCTCACTACTGAAAATGTGGGGAAAAAGCATGAAGAGAGGGTTGTGTGGGAGAGCTCTGATCTGTAAAATACTGGGACAGTAAAGAGGTGCACTGTTTAGGCAGAACAACCCCTGCTACTTTTGTACTGGAAAAAAAAAATAATATAATTGCTGTTATCTTTGATGGTTAAATATCTCATAGTCAATTATATCTTTAATGATAGAATTATTTTTTGTGATTTATCTTTCATCAGTTGTTTTCCTAAAAGACATTGCTCTATCTTATCCACTACCTTATCTAACTTCACCCATATTCATCTGTCTCAGTTAGAGCTAAATATTCCTAACTAATTTCTAACTAGTTTCTAGGTAATATTCTAAGTAGTTGGCACACCAGTTCAAATGTTTAGGCAGAAACACACCTGCCCCCACCACCAGTCTCCACAAATAGGGTTGAGTCTATCCCATCTGTAGTCTAGACCTGGTCAGGCTGATCTATGTCATGTTCTAGACCATGGATGACTTGTGACTACAAGTGACTTCCAGGGTGGAGTACAGAATTCACCCATCCTAGATGAATTGCTTCAGAGTGAACTGTAATCCATAAGCCACTGATTGTGTCAAGAGTCCATCGATGTGGGACAACAAGTGGGAGAAGCCAGCAGTAGCTAAAGAGTCTGTGATCTGAGGACAGAAGGGAGTAAATTCTGGTTTGCACAAATCAGGGAACACCACTGGTAGGCCTCAGCAGGTCAAAGCATTCCCATGCCTGTGGCTCTTTATTACTGGTGGTTAACAGCTTCTTGGTCACACTCCTATTGTTTTCACTGCTAAATTCTGATGATTTAGCAAATATTTATTTCCGTTTTCTTTTTTTTCAAGTAATTTATTTTTTAACTTACATCCAAGTTAGTTAGCATATAGTACAACAATGATTTCGGGAGTAGATTCTGTAATGCCCCTCACCCATTTAGCCCATCCTCCCTCCCACAACCCCTCCAGCAACCGTCTGTTCTCTGTATTTAAGAGTCTCTTATGTTTTGTCCCCCTCCCTGTTTTTATATTATTTTTGCTTCCTTTCCCTTATGTTCTTCTGTTTTGTATCTCAAAGTCCTCATATGAGTGAAGTCATATGATATTTGCCTTTCTCTGACTAATTTTGCTTAGCATAATATCCTCTAGTTCCACCCACACAGTTGCAGATGGCAAGATTTCACTCTTTTTGATTGCCGAGTAATACTCCATTGTGTGTGGGTCTTCTTTATCTTCTTTATCTCTTCATTGATGGACATTTGGGTTCTTTCCATACTTCGGCTATTGTTGATAGTGCTGCTATAAATATTGGGGTGCATGTGCCCTTTCAAAACAGCATACCGTATTCCTTGGGTAAATACCTTGTAGTGCAATTGCTGGGTCGTAGAGTGGTTCTATTTTTAATTTTTTGAGGAAGCGCCATACTGTTTTCCAGAGTGGCTCCACCAGTTTTTAGCAAATATTTATTAAGCACTTACTGTATGCTAGAAAAGCACAAATGAGTGCAATGACTCATCAAGGAGCTTCCAATTTAGTGAAGGAAAATGAAATGTTTACAGCTAACTATAAAAAAAATTATAGTAGTGGCATGTGCAGTATAGTAAAACATGGGAGAATATGCTTAGTGTGTTTGGGACAGTGAAGAGACTTATCAGAGAAAGTCACATGTTAGCTAGGCCATAAAAGAAGAATAAGATTTTCTAGAAGAGGGAAAGAAACCAACCAGGGAACAACATGCAAAAGTATGGAGGCGTGCATATGTGGCTCTTGAGAAACTTAACAGAAGACCATGGGGGAAGGGGAGGGAAAAAATAGTTACAAACAGAGAGGGAGGGAAGGAGGCAAACCACAAGAGACTCTTAAATACAGAGAATAAACTGAGGGTGAATGAGGGGGTGGGGAGGAGGGGGAATTGGGTGATAGGCATTGAGGATGGCTCTTGTTGGGATGAGCACTGGGTGTTGTATGTAAGCAGTGAACCATGGAAATGTATCCCAAAACCCAAGAGCACACTTTACACACTGATAGCCAATTTGACAATAAATTATATTAAAAAAAAAATACTTGGGGCGCCTGGGTGGCTCAGTCGGTTAAGTGTCCGACTTCAACTCAGGTCATGATCTCACAGTTTGTGGGTTTGAGCCCCATGTTGGGCTCTGTGCTGACAGCCAGCTCAGAGCCTGGGGACTGTTTCAGATTCTGTATCTCCCTCTCTCTCTGACCCTTCCCTGCTCACACTGTCTCTCTCTCTCTCTCAGAAATAAATAAAACATTAAAAATATATATATTTTTTAAAGTTTAAAAAAATAAAAAATAAAATACGTATTTTAAAGAAAATGAAATTTAAAAAAGAACAAACAGGGTTGACGGAGGAAGGTGGGTAAGCAATGGGCTAGATGGGTGATGTGTATTAGGGAGGGCTCTTATTGTGATGAGCACTGACTGTTGTATAGAAGTGATAAATCACTGAATTCTACTTCTGAAACCAATATGCAAACTAACTAAAATTTAAATTAAAAAAAGGAAAAAAGTCTTAAAAAAAGAAAGTATGGAAGGGTGAAAAACGTGTGGTATTTTCTGGGACCAGCAGTTAAATCAGTATTACTGCAACCTAGGGCACATAAGGAAGTGAGGCTAAACTGGGCTTGGATGGGTTTCTGGAGGGCCTGAACAACATAATAAGGACTTTAAGCTTAGGCAGTAGAGAGGCTTTGTTTTTAGAGGAAAGTGATAGCATGTGTATTTTTAACAATTTTAAACAGAGTTTTAGTGGCAATTTAGGTAGTGGATTAGAACAGTCGGATACCAAAGAGTGAGAGCCCTTTGGAAGTTCTTACTCCCAGTGATGCTTTTCCAAAGTTTTAAGAAATCTCTGTTTTTGACTCTGTGTAAATATTCTATTTACATATACAATATGAATTTACATATAGAATAAAAGGAATACAAAATTTTATTGTTCCAACAATGTAGATTTTTGCCATTATTTTTTACTCCGTATTCAAGTAAACCATAATTTAAAGCCTTAAAGAATTATCTTTTATTATTAAAGATTTATCTAGAAACCAGTGTAAATTTTCCCGGTGACTCTCTGGCTCCTTGAGCAGTGCTGTGTTGGTCCTACAGGTCGGCCTGGCAGTGGTGAATGGGCAGCTCATGGCCGTAGGAGGTTTTGATGGCACGACATACTTGAAGACCATTGAAGTTTTTGATCCTGATGCCAATACATGGAGGTAATGTTTAAGCTACATTGCAGATCACACTGCTCACTGGAAGATTGTGGGCATAAAGTTGCCCGTGACCGTCAAAATCAGGATGGTCAGTACACTGAGAAGTGCTTTTGCGGTACGTGGAAGGGAGCTCCAAGTTACCCATATTTGATGGCTTATTTTGACTCATTGCTCTAAAGTGACTGACGTCTTACAAAATCTTCTCTTTGGTAACTGTCCAGTTTTATAATAGAGAGATGGCAAACAGAAAAAAAACATCTCCTCTCTAACTTCGTCATGTTCAGCTGGGGAAAGTAAGGCACTGAGAAATAAAATGAACAAGTTAGCAATAGAGTTAAAATTAGAACTTGGGTCTTTTGCTCCTAATCTGTCACAATTTTTTGGTGTTCTTTTTGGTAGCTTTATGCCCAAGAAAAACAAATTGCAGTTACTGTTAAAAAATTATAGTTTATTTCATTTTAAAGCTGACTGTTTTCTTTAAGCTTTTAAAATCTATTTCTTTCTTTCTTTATTATTTTTAATCTAATTTATTGTCAAGTTGGCTAACCTACAGTGTAACCAAGTGTGCTCTTGGTTTTGGGGGCAGTTTCTCATGATTCATTGCTTACAAAGAATACTTAGTGCTCATCCCAACAAGTGCCCTCCTCAATGCCCATCACCCATTTTCCCCTCTCCCCCACTCACCCGCATCAACCCTCAGTTTTCTAAATTTAAAAGTGTCATATGGTTTGCCTCCCTCTCTGTTTGAAACTATTTTTTCCCCTACCCTTCCCCCATAGTCTTCTGTTAAGTTTCTCAAGTTCCACAGATGAGTGAAAACATATGGTATCTGTCTTTCTCTGACTTATTTTACTCAGCATAATACCCCCCAGTTCCATCCATGTTATTACAGATAGCAGGTGGGGTGCCTGGGTGGCTCAGTCAGTTAAGCGACCAACTCTTGATTTTGGCTTGGGTCATGATCTCACGGTCATGGGATTGAGACCATATCAGCGTGGAGCCTGCTTGGGATTCTTTCTCTCTCTCTCCCTCTCTCTCAAAATAAGTAAGTAGATTTTAAAAATAAGTTAATTAAAACCTATTTAAATATATTATTTATCTTATTTTGTTTTTAATGTTTCTCTAAATTTATTTCTTGAGAGAGAGAGAGAGAGAGATACAACATGAGCAGGGGAGGGTCAGAGAGAGAGGGAGATACAGAATCTGAAGCATGCTCCAGGCTCTGAGCTAGCTGTCAGCACAGAGCCCAATGTGGGGCTCAAAGCCACGAACTGTGAGATCATGACCTGAGCCAAAGTTGGATGCTTAACCAACTGAGCCCAGGCGCCCCTCTATTTTAAAGTCTATTAAATTTTAACAGTCAATTTAGGGAGGAGTCTCCCTTTTATTTAAGAGGTTTAATTATGTTAAACTATATAGGATTAATTTTACTCTACTTTAAATTGTTAACAATCTTAACAAATCTTTCCTAAGTACTTAAGTAGTTCTTATAAATTCACATAAATCAGATAACTCATGTATTTATTTTAACTATTCAAAAACTTTTACAAATTTAGTAAAATTCTCTTAAACTTTAAAACTTAAAATCAGAAGTCCAAATCTTTACTCAATCACACATTTTATACTCGATTCACAAAACTGGTCTGATAGATGCCTTAATATGCCAGAGTTGCTTAAATATTACAAGAACTTAAAATGTCAAATATATAGTTAATTCTCAAACTTAACACAAAATATTAATTGAATTAATTAGTTAAATGTACCTCCTGTTTATACTTAATTCCAAATATTAGCCTTCTAAGAAAACAGTTTTACCTTCCAAGCAACATGGGTTTTCCTTCTCAATAAATTTGGCTTATTTGCGTAAATATATCTAAGGGAACCACAGATACCAGTCTGGCCCAAGATGTGAGGCAGCAGACATTCTGAAAGATCTTTTTTATGACCATGAAAGATAAGCTGAGATCTCCTTTGTAGTCCTTATTCCAAAAGGGTCTGTGTCATAGTCCCTTCCTGCTGCGTTCTAAGTAGACATTTTGTCATTTTGAGCCTGTAACTACCCACCCAGATCTTTTCATCATTCTGGAAGATTCAGCTAATGAATGTACTGAGATCTTTTCAGTCTTCATGTCTGGGAAAGCCCTACTTTTACAGATATTTAATTGGCATGCTTTGGACCATACCGGTCTCTCATGTCTCTGTAAGGCTTGGTCATAATACTGAAGTCAGACTAAAAGTCAGGTATTGTAGCACTTTTGGCTTCTGTATCACATTTCACAACCTTGGTTCATTAAGTAAAGATTTACTGAGTGTTTTAGACCCTGGGATACAACAGTGAACAAAACAAACTTTTTTCTTTTTTTTTATGTTTTTATTTATTTCTGCGAGAGAAGCAGCATGAGCAGGGGAGGGTCAGAGAGAGAGATATACAGAATCTGAAACAGGCTCCAGGCTCTGAGCTGTCAGCACAGAGCCTGATGTGGGGCTTGAACTCACGAACCATGAGATCACAACCTGAGCCAAAGTTCATTGCTCAACAGACTGAGGCACCCAGGCACCCCAAACAAACTTCTGGGAGACTAGCAGTAACATACCAGGGGGTAGAAGCTCTGTGGTGACTAGCAAAGGCGGGTGGGAGTGCCAAAAGAGGAGTTTCCATTTTAAAATGTAGCCTAGGCAAGCCTCAACTGCAAAGGTGAACATTTTAGCAAAACCCAGTAGAGTTAAAGGAGAGATAGCAGGAGGTTTTCATGAATAGGAGCCGCTGCTCTGCCTCTCCCCCACATTTATGGCATATTTTCTTGCACACTCAGCTTTCTATTTTTAGTGGAAATTTGGGAAGACAGCCAAATTTTCTTCTGTTACTTAATCACTATGATCCTATGTAATTACCTATTTCTCAGTAACTATCACTAAACAGAATTAGTAACATGTGACCAAGTAATATTTATGAAATTCTTAAGGACCATCTATTGGGAGATTATGATCTACATTTTGGCCCAACTTAAAACCAGTTTTGCCTTAGAGCTGACAGAGGATCTAATCCTCTTTTCCATGGAAATCTTTACTTTTGAAGATGGTCTTGTTCACAGGTCACAAACTAGATGCTGACCTTATTTACTCCTATCCAGGTTCGGTCCATAAAGGGGGAGACTTGTCAGAATACATAGAAGACAAAAGGATAAAAGTAATTGAGGCTTAGGCAGAGGGAAGTGCGGGTAGGAAAATAGTATAGCCATTGTGAAAATTAGACACAAAAATGTAGAATATATGATTCTGTGTAATTGAAATCGGTGTAGGTATGGGGCGCCTGGGTGGCTCAGTCAGATAAGCGTCCGACTTCAGCTCTGGTCATGATCTCACGGTTCGTGGGTTCGAGCCCCATGTCGGGCTCTGTGCTGACAGTTCAGAGCCTGGAGCCTGTTTCAGATTCTGTGTCTCCCCCTCTCCCTGACCTCCCCTGCTCATGCTGTCTTTCTCTCTCTCTCAAATAAGTAAACATTAAAAAAAGAATCAGCGTAGGTGTAAAGTTTTAAAGTCATGATGCAAAATATGGATACAATGCTCTTATTCTTAAAACAGTATCCTGTGAGACCTTTTCAGCCAGTGTCTTAAATAATTCTACTACTTGCCAGTGCTCAATTCCAGCTCCTAATCTTTGGAAGAGATGTGCAGCCTGGTTGGCTGTTGGTTAAGCGTCTGATTCTTGATTTCAGCTCAGGTCACGACATCATAGTTCGTGAGACCAAGCCCTGCAGTGCGTGGAGCCCGCTTGGGATCTCTCTCTCCCTCACTCTGTGCCCCTCCCCTGCTCATGCTCTCTCTTCCCGTCTCAAAACAAATACATAAACTTTAAAAATATATATATTAGTTGTGATAGAAAATGTGTTTTATTAACACCTAAGTCATAGAAAAAAGCTGCTTTTTCCACTTTGAAATCTGATTTTATTTTTCTTTGCAGGTTATATGGCGGGATGAATTACCGTCGGCTGGGGGGTGGTGTAGGAGTTATTAAAATGACACATTGCGAATCTCATATATGGTGAACATCTAGAAGACAGTCGTGTATGCTCCTCTGTATTCTGAAGAGCTTTGACTTTGGAGCTTTGTACAGCTCTGGAAAACATTAGAACAAATTTTATCCTTTGCCGGTGCCTCAACATTTGGAAATACAAATACAGTGAAAGTACTTCAATTGCAAGATGCCACCTTTGCACAAAAATTTTCAATTCTGTGCAGAATATTTATTTTTGGTTTTAATTTATCATGGTTTTTGTTATTGTTGTTGGGTTTTGTTGTTTCATTTTGTTTTGCTTCGGATTTAACCTTCCTCCCACTAAAAAAGGAAAAAGAGGGTAAGAAAAAAGGCAAAAAACTCCAAGCAGTAAAAATTTATTTTTAAGATATTAAATTTGAAAATACTAATAAGGGGAGAAGGGCTGTACATGATCTAGTTGTTATTGCTAGGCACTCCTTCCACATGGCTCCACTGCTTACAAGGACCACCAGTGACAAAGACAGGGCTGCAAACTGTATTATTTAGCCATCATTCTTGCACTAAGCACCAGAAGACTTGAAAATCTAAAAAAAAAAAAAACAAAAAAAAAACCAAACCAAAAAAAACAGAAAAAGGAAACACTCATTTTAAACAGTACAACTCAAAAGGAATACTAACTAGATATAACCAGGACTCCGACACTAAAGTTTTCATCAGTGGAAGTTTGCATCTTTTCCTTCCATATGAACTTGTTTTCCAATATATTTAGTCTTTTCTCAAAATAATATTTTCATAGAATTTCTGCTAGGTCCAGAGCTCTGCTCAGTGCCTCTGTAAAAACACTATACAGTTCTTATATGCTATCTTGAGAATCCTGCAATAGAATCATGTGCTACTCTGCAAGAGTTTTTGCTCAAAAATATTACTGACTGAAACAACTTTCCTTGTTTCCTTATTGCTACTAAGGACCAGCAGGGAGAAATGTCCTCTCCCCAGCAGTGAATACTGTTATGCAACTTACACTTGATGCTCAGGCCTGCTGAAGCTGAGGCTGACCTGTAATCACAGCCTCCAAGGGAATGAATTCTTCAGTTCGTGTAATAGTACATGCTAATGAGTAAAATTGAGGCATTTTATTAATAAAACCTTGGTTCTTTTATACAAACTATATATATATCATTATCTTCATTCTATAAAGCCTCTGTTACTACTTCTCTCAAATTGTACTTTCTGGTGAAAAGTTAAAATTTTTAAGGAAAAAAATGATACAAATTTCAGTGGTCAGAGTTTTATCATTGTGTTCATAGAGCAATTCTTTTCAGTGTATTTTGCAGGAAAATCTTTGAATAAGACTTAAGTCACAACCAAAAGGAATAACCTTCTCTCTCCCCCCAACTACAAAAATGTTTGGCAACTTTGTGTTTACATTTAAAGATCATATGCACCTTTACAAGGAAAATAAATAAAGTATTTGGTAAAGTTGTTTACATGTATCATTTATGCTTTTTTCTAGCATGTATAACTTTTTTAAATAAAGGTAGTATTTACCATAAAACAACTTTTGGTTAATGCTTTTTAGTGCTTGTGTCTCTGCTGTTTAGTTTCTATATCATTTATATTTCCTATATGTGAAGCTGTAAGTTCTTGCAACCTGAAGGAATAAAGGATTGCCAGCTAGAACAATGAATTTTTAATTATGTATTTTATATAATTGTATTTTATCACCTAACCTCTAAACTTATTTTCTGGTGTAGCACTCAAGAATCATATGCTTTTGAGCTAGAAGGACTCTTAACAGTCATGTGGGCCAACCCCACTTATTTCTCTGCTCTAAGAACAAAAACCAAAGAGTAAATAAATACACTCAGTGATAGAACCAACATTCAATATCATTTCCCCAAACTCCCACTCCATTTCTCTTTCTACACCACACTGCTACTCCCAGCCTACTTGAAACATGGCTTGTAATTAAATATTCTAACAGACTTTAACTAAACCTGGTATGTAACATTAAAAAAGTATAAACACTTTTATGTGATCCTTACAGTACTGTATCATTAAATTAGTCTTCAAGACCAAAATCACATATTTCCCAAGACTCTACTATTGCATAAATCTTAAGAAAAGGAGAGGAATAAGAACAGGAACAAAAATCTAGGGATTAGACTCTCCAGATGTAGCAAAGTTCCCAGCAGGAACAATTCATAGGACAGTGAGTGATTCAAGAGCAGAGACCCAGCAACTACAGAACTGGCTAAAGTGTTCATTGGGGCCTAAAGGGTTTTTTCCTTCCACTGAAAGTGGTCCAGTTTTATTATTGAATAATATTGGGGCGCCTGGGTGGTTCAGTCGGTTGAGTGTCCAACTTCAGCTCAGGTCAGGTCCATTGGTGAGTTTGAGATCTGCGTCAGGCTCTGTGCTGATAGCTTGGAACCTGGAGCCTCTTTGGGGGGGGGGGGGGGGAGAGAGAGAGAGAGAGAGAGAGAGAGTGTGTGTGTGTGTGTGTGTGTGTGTGTGTGTGTGTACGTGTGCACGCGCACGCCCCTCCCCTGCTTGCACTGTCTCAAAAATAAACATTTAAAAAATTATTGAATAATATTTACCTATCAGATAAACGACACTGCTATAAAAGAATATTAACTTATTTGCATAGTGATTTCCACAGCTTTATGAAGTTGAGTTTGGAGTTGGGTTGGCAGTCAACTTAGGCTTGGAAAGTTAAAAGGACATGGTAGAAGCTGAACCTCACATCCCGATTCCAAATCCATTGTTCTCTATACTAGTCTCCAAACTAGGGGGCAGCAGTTTACCCTGTATCCTTCCCATTCCATGGACCCAAGAAGAGTTGTTGATTTTTCCATCTCTTTAGCTTTTTACTTGTTAGGGACACAGTGGCTACTTCTACGCTCCTCTTATGAGGAACCGGAAACTGAAAGTGAAATGTGTAGTTTTAAATAAAAGAAATATAAATCATAAATTATCTCAATAGATGCAAAAAAATAATTTGACAAGATCCAACAGCCATTCATAATAAAAACCCTCAGCAAATTAGGAAGAGAACTTTTTTAACCTGACAAAGGGCATGAATGAAAAACCTACAGATAACATATTTAATAGTGAAATATGCTTTCCCACTAAGATCAGGAACAAGATAAAACTACATTCTCGGGGCAACTGGGTGGCTCAGTCAGTTGGGTGTCCAACTTCAACTCAGGTCATGATCTCACAGTTTGTGAGTTCAAGCCCCACGTCAGGTTCTGTGCTGATGGCTCAGACCCTAGAGCCTGCTTCGGATTCTGTGTCTTCTTCTCTCTCTGTCCCTCCCCCACTTGTAATCTTCTCTCTCTCAAAAATAAATGTAAAAAAAAAAACAAAACAAAAAACCCCTACATTTTCACCACTTCTATCTGCCATTGTGGTGGAGAGTCTTGCTAAGGCAATTCGACAAGAAAAAGAAACAAAAGGCATCCATATTGAAATTAAGTATAACGGTTTTTATACACAAACAGCATGAGTCTTGTATATAGAAAATCCTAAGGAATTCACTGAAAAACACGAATAAAGAAGTTCAGCAAGGTCATAGGATACAAGAACAATACATACAACAATCAAAAAATGAAATTAATAAAGCAATTCCAAATGTATAAAAGTGCAAGCATATTTTTGAAAGGCGCATCTTTAAAAATACAAAGCATGTAAAGTTATTTTACTGTCATTACCTAGAATGGATGGATGTACATGTAACTCTACTTTGAAACTGCCTGGCTACTAATCTATACAAAATAAAATAATTTTCACTTATTTAAAAAAAAAAACAACCCATTCTCAATAGCATAAAAAATACTTAGGAATAAATTTAACAAAAAAAGTGCAATACTTGTATGCTGAAAACTACAAAACACTGTTGAAAGAAATTCTGAAATAAATGGAAAGATACCCCATGTTCATAGATTAGAAGACTTAATATCATTACGATGGCAGTACTCCCCAAACTGATCTACAATTCAATTAACCACTTATAACCACTATCAATATCCCAGCTAATTTTTTTTTTACAGAAATTGACCAGCTGATCCTAAAATTCTTTGGAAATGCACAAGACCCAGAATAACCAAAACAATCTTGAAAAATAGGACAAAGCTGGAGGACTCCCACTCCCCAATTTAAAAAAATGCACTACAAACCTATAGTAATCAAGACAGTGTGGTACACGGGAGTCTCAGTGCTCAGTTAAGCATCCGACTCCTGATTTTGGCTCAGGTCATGATCTCACCACTGTGGGATTGAGACCCATGTCAGGCTCTGCCCTGAGCATGGAGTCTGCTTGGGATTCTCTCTCTCCCTCTCTCTGCCCCTCCTCTGCTCACACTCACTCTCTAAATAAATACATAAACTTAAAAAAAAAAAGACAGTATAGTACTGGCATAAGGACTGACATCAATGAAATAAAACTGAGAGTCCAGAAATACACATCTATGGCCAACTGACTTTTTTTTTTGCCAACTGACTTTTAAATTCAATGGGAAAACAACAGTCTTTTCAACAAATGGTACTAGAACAAATGAATATCCATCTGCAAAATGATTAATTTGGATGTTTACTTTACCCTATACATAAAATACTCAAAATGGGGGGCTCCTGGGTAGCTTAGCTGGATGAGTGTCCAACTCTTGGTTTTCAGCTCAGGTCATGATCTCTCGATTCTGGAGATCTTGTCCCATGTCGAGGTCTGCGCTTACAGTGCAGAGCCTGCCTGGGATTCTCCCTCTCTCTGACCCTCCCCCGCTTGCATGCTCTCTCTCCAAATAAATAAACCTTAAAAACAAAAACAAAAAAAACCTTCAAAATGGATTGCAGACTTAAATTTAAATCTAAAATTATAAGATCCTTAAAAAGAAAAAAAACATAGGAATAACTCTTTGGGATCTTAGATTAAGCAACAATTGCTTAGACACAACACCAAAAGCACAAGAAATAAAAGAAAATAACTGATAAATTGGACTTCATCAAAATTAAAACTTTTGCATTTTGAAAGTAAATGAGTTCACTCTGGTATTTCCAATTCAAATTTAACATTACAGAGTTTCTATTTAGTTTACTTTATAATTGTAGGTCTTTTACACTCAAAATCATGTTTTATTTTATTACAAAATGATAAAACAACAATACATATATATTTAATAACAAGATAGCTGAGTACAACTTAGATTCCTTTGCTGCTCTTTTCCTAAGACATAGCTGACAATGTACAGGCAAAATACTAGAATTTAAATATGCTAAAATAATTGCGTGATTATGGCAAGAACTTAATATAAT